CCAAAGAGCCTGATACTCTCTGTAATAACAGCCAGAGGCTGAGGCCAGGGAGCAATGATCTTTGCTTGGTCAGCTTCAATTGGCTGCAAAGGAGACATTGGGTTCTAATAGACACCACCTAATATCTGTATAAAGGGGACCTGTCACCAGGAGAGTTCTATCACATAAAGGCTAATGAGGGGTGTAAAAACACCCCACAATTTATTTATTTTTACACGGTCCTATGTGGACATGCATACTAACACAAGCACACGTCGGGTGCACCTACATATGAAAGCAACGGTTATGCCGCACATGTTGGGTATCGCCCCACACAGTGGAGTGTGTGCAATAATTCTAGGCCCATCATTCATGGCTAACTCTGACTTGATGACCTCTGTAGGCTTTTAATGCATCACATATGGACAGTTTAGGGTCCCGTAGGTTTTTGAAGCTTAACATGTTTGGTGTCTGTTTATTCGCTGCAACTGATATCTTTTATATTTTCCCAACAAATTTGGCAATATATTGTGTTCATGTGCACTAAAATAACTTTTTTTCCAGAATATTTGGCTTGAGAAACTATTGCGCTCATATCATGCGAGATTAAAAAATTGCAGCTGGCACCATTTTATTCTACAGAGTCTCTGCTTTCAGGAAATAAATAATTGGGAGGACTTAAGTAATCCCCAGGCCTAAAATGTGCATTTTAACGTGTGCAAAAAAAAAAAAATCATGCAAAAATGGCTATGGCAGAGAAAGGGTTAAGAAAGTCTTTTACTGAAGAAAAGGGGCAACAGATCAACATATCAAAGGTAGAATCAGTAAAAATTAATTTAATACATTTGTGTTCAGTATACAAAGTGTAAATTGGTGACAGGGTCACTTTAAAGCTAAACTCCCAGCATTCTTTAAATTAGAGGCGCACCGAAATGTCGAAACTGAAATGAAAAATAAATGTCAGACCGAAACCGGAAATGTTTTTTATTCCAACTTTCAAAAAAAAAATGACATTTTCTTTTCTATCAACTTTTTTTTAGATTTTATTTGTATTTTTTTACTTTTAGGGGCTCCGGGGAAATATTGGGGTTCTAAACACACCCCTGATATTTCCATTTTAAAATAGAAAAAGAGATTGAGGACTCTGTGTCCTCAATCTCTTTTTCTGCATCCTCTGTTTTAAATGAACAGGAATCCTCTATACTGAGTGTTCCTGTTCATTCATAACTTAGAGATAGTATGTTTACTATAACCACGTTCATGAATGGACAGGAGGTCATAATTGAGGACACAGTAACCATACTCTGTCCTCGATCACTGAGTGTTTGTACCGCTCTCCTTCCTGACAGCTGTCAAAGGAGGCTGGGTGGTGCGGGAGGGAGAGCTCAGCCTCCTGTGCCTCCGCTCACCCGATCTGGGCTGGGTGGTGCGGGGAGGAGAGGCGCCAGCCGCTTGCACAGCTCAGCCTCCTGTGCCTCCACCCCACACCGCTCTCCCGATCTGGGCTGGGTGGTGCGGGGAGGAGAGGCGCCAGCCGCTTGCACAGCTCAGCCTCCTGTGCCTCCACCCCACACCGCTCTCCCGATCTGGGCTGGGTGGTGCGGGGAGGAGAGGCGCCAGCCACTTGCACAGCTCTGCCGCCTGTGACAGTTTCTCTCCTCCCTGCTGGGATACAGAGCAGAGCCCAGTGGGGAGGAGAGTTTGTCTCAGCGGCCAATATATTGGTGCATCCCTACTTTAAACTAAACACCAAATGCCCAGTGCCAGAATGTGGGTGGGCATTTACTGATCTTATTCCGTACGATGCCGGGCCCGCAGCCTCTGCTAGTCCTGCATTGTAGGTGATGACATCAGTGAGAGGGGCAGTGACGAGACTGTTTGGAGTCCAACAAGAAGAGCAGCTTTGGGGGACCAGTTTGTCACGACTGGAACCAGAGAGAAGCAAGACCACGGGACTCTGGATTAAGGTTACTAAAATTCTGTTTGATATCCATCCACTGGAACAAACTAACAATAAATCTTATATCGGTTAAAGAGGGGGGGCCATTCTAATAGTTTAAATTAATGTCTGGCGTTATGCTTTAAGAATTAAAACTGTTTATCAAATAAGGCCGTTACAGTTTGCTTTTCTCTGAAACTGAGTAATCACCCAGATCTCCGTTCCCTTTCACATACTGATATTGCTTTACATGCTGATTGTCAGCCAGCACTAGTACCAGCATTCTTTTACCAGTGTCCGGATCGCCAACCAGCACCAGTGTCTGCTTTCCAAAATGTGATCATTTTGCAGAGACGTTGGCTGTCCCCATCAGAGTGCCCCCTTGCAGTGGCTGTCCCCATCAGAGTGCCCCCTTGCAGTGGCTGTCCCCATCAGAGTGCCCCCTTGCATTGGCTGTCCCCATCAGAGTGCCCCTTGCACTGGCTGTCCCCATCAGAGTGCCCCCTTGCATTGGCACTCTGATTACTAGCAACAAATGTGGGGGGGAATTCCGATGGGGGCAAATAATAATTAGTTGTCCCCATCAGAGTGCCGTTTTACGCTGGTTGTTCCCTAAAGGGCTTGTTCACATCAATGAAGTGTGCGTATCCTCTGTGTGATGAACGCACAGTACCGAACAACGCACCTACTATGCGTTAGTGTGGTAGGTACACTGTGTTGCCATTCATTTTAAATGCACCTCCAGACCGCAATGCATTTGACTGCACCACAATGCCTGGTACTGCAATACCGTCTGTTGTGGTGCAATGTTGTTGGAAAAAAATAGGGTATGCGATTTAACGCACCACATTGGCATGAACCGGCCTTATGTTACTGTCCTCACATTTTTTCTTAGTTATACAAAGTAAAGCTGCCCATACACTGCGGGCTGAACGAAGAAACAGCAAAAAAATAGGGTATGCGATTTAACGCACCACATTGGCATGAACCGGCCTTATGTTACTGTCCTCACATTTTTTCTTAGTTATACAAAGTAAAGCTGCCCATACACTGCGGGCTGAACGAAGAAACAGCAAATCCCCCCCATCAATGCTGCAAGCAAGTTGATGTGGGAATCCCCATTGGTTTTTTTTTGTTTGTATCCTGACAGCTGCCGGCTCTGTTCATAAGGAGATTTTCTGACCTGCTCCTTCGATAAGCTAATTGAGTGATCTGGCTGAAAGGGTGCGGCACCGACACCCACTGTGCGAATTTCGGCCAGTTCCTCAAGAAACGTCTGAAATTCGCCACCTTAAGAAATACAATAAAATGGGGCTTTACCTAAGTGCACCAATCTCCCATACAATTAAACATGACTTTTGTTTTATACTTGTGACATTTTTACACATAAAATATATATATATATATATATATATATATCTCACCTGCTGCTAGATAGCCGGGAGGTGGATATAGGGGGCAGAGCTGGGAGGAGGCAGAGAGGACAGGAGACGATACTCTTCCGTCCTCCTTCATGCTAGGCTAGTAACACAATGACGTCATTGGTTGTGAGGAACGCTGCGGTCCTAACAACCAATCTCTTAAGAGGAGGGGAGACCCAGCACAGGTTGGCGAACACGGTCCGGACAGAACCGCTGCTCAGAACCCCTGGTATATACTAGTCTTATCACAGGTCTAATTACTATACACTTATTTGACTGTTGCAGAATATATTTTGGCCTGAATGTATGAAGAAAGATGATTTCTTTTCAATGTTTGTATGACATAAATTAAGGCAAACAATTTTTTTTGTCAAAGTATCACAGCACTGAAAACTGAAACATGGCCTGGACAGGAAGGGGGTGTAACATGCCGGCTCTCAAGTGGTTAAAGAAGACATGTTTATTTTTCAGGTTTCGAAAAATACTTTCCAAATGGGAAAAATGACAAGAAAGCAAATGATTCCAAAGTGGAGCCGAAAGGTAAAAATTATCCACTGAAATAATACATGAATATGTTTTATAAGTCTAGTGGGAGCTTTTATTCTTTGACTGCAACTTGTTTGCCAGGTAATGAAGCTGAACTCAATGCTTTATAACTAGAATGACAACTTTTATCAGAGGCCTCAGAAATTGGTATGCTTGTACAACTGGACATCCCCTGGATCAGTCCTCTCCACTGCTACATACCACTAGAGTGCACTTGGAATATGAGAAGGCAGAGCATGATGTATTGGTCATTAACTATGAACCAGCAGACCTTGCTTTCCCATGTCCCACATGCATGCAAGGAGTGTGAAAAACTGCCTGCACACTTAAAACCCAGGGTGCTGATGTTTTTTGCCACTATTTATGCTGCATGAGGTATTTAGTTATAAATATAATGCTTTATATACCTAAAAGGACAACTGCAGTTACAAACATCTTAATCAACTTTTGAGTCTGCCTCGACAGTAGTTCCCCAATTGGATCTCTCCCCCTCTAAATGTAAACATTGAAAAAAACAGAGAAATAGGGGTTTCTGAGAGGTATAAAACCAATACATGTGTAAAAATGATATCCAAATTTTATTATACAGTAATTACATTATATAAAAGAATCAATTGTAATACATACGAGTATAAAAAAAACCCAATTGGCTAAAACACACACAAAGTTCCTAGGATATGCCCAACGTCAACCAGTTATATCTTAATTAAATATCCATAGTTGCAAACATAATTGTCATTTAATTATTCATTGTTCATTTACTGATTTGTCATTAGTTTTTCATTGTTCATTTACTGGAACAGACATATCCAGGTCCCGACTCGTTTCGCACCAAGCTTCTTCAGGGGACCATGGGGGGCTAATCAAACAACTAGTGTCTGGAGGAGGACAGATATTTCCGGATCAGGAGAAAGTGATGGCGGCCTGATTCAAACCAGCCCACTCAACTCCGTCCGAGACCATGCCAGGGACATCGGGGCCATGGGAAGGGGGGGGCCATCGAGGATGGTGCAAAGGACCCCCTATCACCTAGTCCTAAGAGAAACTGGTTCCCATATTTGTGGGGCATTTTCTTGGTGAACGAATTCATATAAGTGAAATGGTTATGTGTAGCGTAGTGATCCCAGGTCCTAATCCTTGCTAATACAGGTATACAGGTATTGGGTAAAAAGGTATGATTAGCCCCACGTGGTCCCCTGAAGAAGCTTGGTGCGAAACGCCGGATATGTCTGCTCCAGTAAATGAACAATGAAAAACTAATGACAATCAGTAAATGAACAATGAATAATTAATGACAATTATGTTTGCAACTATGGATATTTAATTAAGATATAACTGGTTGACGTTGGGCATATCCTAGGAACTTTGTGTGTGTTTTAGCCAATTGGTTTTTTTTTATACTCGTATGTATTACAATTGATTCTTTTATATAATGTAATTACTGTATAATAAAATTTGGATATCATTTTTACACATGTATTGGTTTTTTACCTCTCAGAAACCCCTATTTCTCTGTTTTTTTTCTATGTTTACAAACATCTTACATATGTATTAAAAATCATCTCCCCCCCCCAAGGCTGGCTTTCAGTTGTGACTGGTGGAGACAATTCTAAGTAATCATTTTTTGCAAGCAGGCATGTCTTCCAGACATCATGGCCAGATTGGGGACTTCACTTTTCTTTACTGTAATTAAGTGATACAGATTGTTCAAGGATCCACCTCTTGCCTGCTTTTGGACAGAAAGGAACAACATCACATTGATGAGATTATTCCCATTATCCTCTTCATGTAATCATGTTGACAGTGTTGGACATTTTAGGGCTTGTTCACACCACAATATGTGGGCATAACGTGCTGTGGGCATAACATCATAACGTGCTCCGCCACTCTCCTCCCACCCCAGAACGCAGGGAGCCTAGCAGTATGCGATCCAGTGCATTCCAGCATTAGTTGCTGGAACACACTGGAAGTGGTGTGAACAAGCTCTTAGGGCCTAGGCAGCTTGCAGTCATTGAGCAAACTATGCGGTGCCATTGACTTGAATGCACCGCTACGCCCCCTCCTGCCCCAGAACGCAGGGAGCCTTCACAGTATGCGATTCAGTGCATTCCAGCACAGTTAGCTGCTGGAACGCAGTGGAAGTGGTGTGAACAAGCCTTAAAGCAGCAAAGCATCCCCAAACTGTAACATTTCCGCCACCACGCTTCACAGTTGGTATAGGGTTCTTCTGAAATGCTGTCTTTTGTTTGTGCCAAACCTTTCTTCTTTTACTGTGGCCAAACAATTCTGTGTTTGATTTAGCAGTCCATAGGACATTGTTAAAGAAGGCCTGGTCTTTGCCAATATGTTCCATGGCAAACTGTAGTTTTGTTGTAATGTTCTTTTTGGGAAAACCAAAGGCTTTTTCTTTACACACTTCTCTTACAGATTGAATCTCTATGTGATTGCACATTTAGTGGTGACCTCAGCGCTGAATACTGAAAAATGGCCTGGATGGGAAGGGGGTTTAACACCGCGGATGTCAACTGGTTAAGGAGACATTAGGGCTCTATTAGACCCCTGATGTCAACTTTGCACTCCAGTGAAGCTGATCAAGCACAGATCGTTTAGACTTGTCGACTTTACACATCTAAGCTGAATCCCAGCTGCTATACCATGTTATTCGTATGCATCATTTTTTCACGTATATATATCTGTAACTACTGTTTGAATGAAGATGTAATGTTTGCTTGATCAAATATGTTGGAAAAAATCATTATTTTGTTACGTGCAAAGCATAATGTTTTTTTTTTGTTTTTTTTTTTAAATTATCACTCTATAAAGATACCAAAGGTAATGGAAAGCATTCCTCGGGTGGAAATGGGGACTCAGGAGGAGGTGGCAATAAAGGTGGGAAGAAGGAGAAAGAATGGTGGGCAAGGATGTCTAAGGTGATTTTTCTTTCTTTTGCTTTCACTTTTGCTATATTGTTGTAATTGCAGAAACAATCAAATAGCACCGCATAGTATGGTTACAAAGGGGTGCAGGATTTTGGACGTAAACATCTGTAAACCCTCATTTGTCTCAAGTCTCATTGTTGTTGCACTTTACTGAGCACACATCTTATAAACCGTAATGGCACATCTTCATATAAATATTGTTTTTATTATATTGTTTCACAATCCCTTCTTTTTTTTTAACCCCTCTTTGCAGGATTAGTACAGCAATATATACAGTCAAAAATAATTATGGCAGGCATGAGTCAGAACTATGATCGCATTTTCATACCGCAAACGTTTTAACATGCGTAAAGAACTAAAACAAAACCAACTAAGGCGAGTGGGAAAAGGAACATATATAGTGCTGTAGTAGATCACCTGCACTCCAAACGGCGTTATAACCTCGCTCAACGGTGGTGCTCACAGTAATGACACAGATGGGCCATGTCATTTCAGAGTATTGCATAGCAGGTCACCAGCTTTCACAAGGTTCAAAGTGTAAATTTTCGTACTTCTTTATTGACCATGCGTCATCAAAGCCAACGTAGCCATGCAGGGTCCCTTCATCAGGCGGATATATTGATATTATGTCACTATGCTGCCCTGTTGAACATGAAACATGTTCAATAAAGATGTACTGCTATCCAATACTTTGGGAAAAGGAACTGGGGGAAAATATCAGGCCATAAAGGAAAAAGTAAGTTAAAGAATTGGAAATAGAGGGAAAAGAGGTGTACAATGGGAGGGGGAGAATAGACAAAAAAGAGAGGGAAGGAGGGACATCTGCATGCAGGGGGAAGGGCCAGGCGGAAAAGTCCATGTGGTACATTATAATAGATGTTGCAAAACCTCCACAGAGTTAAAGCAAATGAGAGTCAGGAGTCAACATAACAGTCTGGTAGGCAGTGGACAAAGTGTATTCATGCCAATAGAACCATATTTGCCCGAATTTTGACTCTTGATGTGTCAGAGAGGCAGTCAGGTTCTCCGTGCATTCAATTTCTGTGATTCTGGAGTACCACAGAGCATAAGAGAGGGAGAGGGTTTGTTTCCAGAGTATTGGGATACACTGCTCTGTATGTCTGCTGGTGCTGTTTCATATAGCAATTTAGCATGTTTTGGAATTCTTGATAACCTTATTTTTTTTTCTTCCTTTTTTTAATGTGCAGGGGGAGATTCCCTGGGATGATAAGGAATTTCAAATCTACATGTATACCTCTATAAGTTTGTGGCTTCTGTTTTCTTACTTCATCTTCAAGAAGCAACCAGTAGAGATCACATGGAAAGACTTTGTTAACAACTACCTATCAGAAGGCATGGTAAGTAAGAAAAGAATGTTGACTGTGTGACTGGAGAAATCAGAGTCAATTCACAAAGCATTTTTTTTCCATTTTGCCTGAGGCTTCATTGATATTGCACGTTATATAGTTGCTTTTTATTTTTCTTTTTTTTTGTAGTGGCAAGTTAGATGTTTTTTCACCTATTCAGACTTTTGTTTTAACAACTGTAATGATAAAATATGCTTGAAATGTAATACGCAAAAAGAAAAGGTCCTTTCATATCTAGTTATTGAGTTGTAGATTTATTGCCTCGTTCATTGTAGCGTTATGAGACATTTCAGGTATCATCTAAAGTAGGGATGCACGGATACCAAGTACAGGACTCGGTACAAGTACCGATACTTTTCCAGCTCCATGACTAGACTAGAGAATAATTCAAAAGTTAGGAGGCAGCTGTCATTTGTAAGGAGCACACGGAGCTCCTGGGATTTGTACATCTCTCTTTTAATGTATGATTTTGGTTTTATAAATATAAAGGGATGCTCTGATATCAGTTTTGCAAGTACTGATACATTTGTGTTTATTGTCATATGACAGTTTTTCTAAAACAATACAGACTAATGATTTCAGGTCAGTGGTGGAGAGCCAGAGCCAGGTCCCAGCTGCAACCCTGGTAGTTCTCGTGAAAATGCCAAGTATAGGCACTGGTACTCGGAAAGTATTGGTGCATCCCTAATCTAAAGCAGTGGTTCTCAACCTGTGTAACCTCATGACCCACATTTGTCCTTGGTCATTAAGTCGTGACCCAAGATGTGCTGTAATGGAGTGCATGGCATTGCAGTATCGGGCGTTCGGGTGCAGGCAATCGGACTGTGGGCGGAGGTGCATTTGGGGTGTCGTTCAAATGAATGGCAACGCAACACACCTTCCACACCAGAACACACAGTAGGTGCGATTGCGTGGTACAGTGCATTAATCGCATGGGACTCTGTGATTATCGCACTGTACTAGTGTGAAAGGACCCTCAATAACACTGACAGACACACAATCGGACATAATCTCGCACACGCCCACACCAAAAAAAAAAATTAGAATTCTTTTTTTTAAGATCCACCCAGTCTCCATACCTTATGAGAACTGGAGTGGATCCTCAGCTTGGGGTCCAGTGTGGGCTGCTGTGCTGTGACTGAGCTCCAGCCATTCGTGTATTGTTTGTATAGCTCCCTTGTGTCCCCCGTAGAGGTGCCAGGAGCCAGATTGTGACATCAGTCCAGTCCTGGCACCTCTACAGGGCACATGTGGGAGCTGTAAGCAATGCACATATGGATGGAGCTCCCTTTTAGACATACTTCCAGCCCAGCCCACCTCAAGCTGACACGCAGGGCCGGGCAGCATATTTTATATGGCTGCTCATGCAAGAACTGATGGTGCTGCGTTAGGGGTGAGGCTGATGAGTCTCTCACCTAGAAAAGTGGAAGGCATGTGGCAACCCACTGAATATGGGGTCGCGGGACCCACTTTTGGGTCACGACCCACCAGTTGAGAACCAAGGATCTAAAGCAGGGGTCTCAAACTCAATTCCCTCGGGTGCCACTTGACACATTTTTTTTCTCCCATGGGGCAGCTTGCCAAATTTCATACTTTAAAATAAAATTTTACTATATCTGGTTTGGTACTACAGAACCTAAAACACACACAATAAGGCCCTATTCATATCTGTAGATTTAGGTGCGATAAGGGATTCCTGCAGCAGGAATGCCTAATCGGGTGTTTACAAGTGACAGCTGTCACCCATTCAAGTTAATGATCAGGTGACAGCAGCTCCATGTAAACTCCTGCACACCACATGTAATGGTATGTGATATTATTACATGCGGTTAGAAAACACTCCCTGAATGCACAATCGTTGAGTCCAGGGAGAGTGGTTGATTCCTAACCGACTGTATCATATCACGCATCATTACATGCGGTGTGCAGGCGTTTACATGCAACTGCTGTCACCTGATCATTAACTTGAATAGGCGACAGCTGCCGCTTTTAAACGCCATTCACTGCAGGAAACGCATGTTCCTGATGGTTGCAGGAATCCCTAATTGCATCTAAAGAGTGAGTGAGTCCCCCCCCCCCTTACCAATCAATCCTTTCGGCCAGCGTTCAGACGCCGGCCGAAAGGATCCGAGTGCCGCCACAGAAGCAGCTATGCGGTCTGCATCCGACTGAGATGCAGACCATGTAGCTGCTCCCGCAAGTCTGGTACGGGGTCCGTGACTGCGGGCCGGTACTTTGAGACCACTGTTCTAAAGCTTGTTGCAACCTGGCCAAACCTTCTTCTTCTTCTTCTTTTTTTTTTTTATTATCCATTTATTATTTTTACAATAGATGAGTACAGAAAAGTTAGGGTTGTGTTTTTTTTTTTGGGGGGGGTTTAGATAAACTTTAAAAACCCATATAAGGTGTTTATTTATTTTTTGTTTTTTTATTCCCGTCTGTGTCCACATTGGGGAGATCTATATATTTTCACGGTTTTGGATAGAATAACACCCCTATTGAGTTTTGTTTTGTTTTTTTTGCTTTCTGTGCCTTGCTGGATAGATTTCTCTCTTCTACGTCCTGACTTGGCAATAGGAAGTTAGAGGAAATCTCCCCAAAATGAAAGTCATTTTTTATCTTCATTACCACCACCACAACTAATGCTAATTGATATCAACAATATGAAATGTATGAGCTATGGCCAAAATTCCAGTACACTGTTGATCCTGCCAATGGACCTGTTTTTCCTCTTTCTTTAATATTGTGACAATGCTGTTGGTTCTGCAGTAAAAATAGCACTGCAGCATTGTCACCTTGTGGACATGGTAATCTTAGATAGACATTCACTACTTCAGTACCGGCATGTTACACCTCCTTCATTACCAGGCCATTTTTGAGTTTTTAGCGCTGTACAAGTTTGGCTGAGAATTCCTCCATCACACAACACTGCAACCAAATTGTTTTTATATCATTTTTTGGGGACAGATAGAGCTTTCTTTTAGTTATATTTAATAACCGATTTTATGTTTATGCTTTTTCTTGGACATAGGTGGATCGACTTCAAGTAGTGAATAAACGTTATGTAAAAGTTATGCTCGCAACTAGCAAGACACCTTGGGATGGGGTAATGTTACTTTTAACGTGTAAATATTAGCTATAATTAATTAGTTGTTAATATTGTTGAAGTGTGTGTTTTATTATGAAAAATCTATGCTGCATTGTTGTACCAACACACAATAATAAAATCTGCCTATGAACTACATTCTCTCTGGACCAACATGTGTTGAGGACTGTAATTGGCTAGCTTGGTCCACAGCGTCAGAATTAAAATGTTATGATCTGTTCGGTTGGTGATATGTTATCCTTTTTTTGTTTTTGTCTATGTATAGGGTTATATCTGGTTTAATATTGGCAGCGTGGACTCTTTTGAAAGGAATTTAGAAACCGTACAGCAAGAGCTTGGAATAGAACCAGAAAATAGAGTACCTGTGCTATACAGAATTGAGGGTGATGGGTAAGCCTACAGTTTTTATACTGCTTTTCATTTTCTAGTTTCATAGAGGTTTTCTGATTTCCAACAGAAAATGTGAAATATGTCCACAAGATTACCCCATGACACTCTTCTTCAGTGGTGGGGGCATGCCTAACCAGAAGCCCCACTAATTGGGAGAACACTTTCCTATTTGGAAATGCTGCAAAGTGTGATCCCTCTGTAGCTCGAGCAAAGTTTACAGGGATCCCATTTTTTAACCGTTTCCTTAGCAGTGCTGTGCACATACACACTTTTTTGCTCAGCACAGTCCTGGATAAAGTCCCACCATGCCCACTAAGGTTTTGCATTTAAAAGGAGTCCTGCCTTGGACTTCCCTGTAAGTATTGCTGTAAAAGTGACTTTTTTTCAGCTTTACAACCTACTTTCTTGATTGAACAGTACAGGACACAGGCAATTCAAAGACAGTTGCGTAATATGCGGTATCACCAACTGATTGGACATTGGCCAGAGCTGTGAAGACCCTTATATAACCCCACCCAGTCCAGTAAATCCTCAGTTTTTTTGCTAGTGTCTGTAGGTGATGGGTGGTAGTTAGTTGCCTTTTTTTCTTGACTATTACTTGTCTTATGTACTTCTGGCTGCGTCAGCCACAGTGACTACCCCGCAGCTTTTGGATCAGTACCCCACGGCTGTAGCTTCAGGGACCACACCCGGACTCCGCAGATCTGAAGAAGCATGGTCAGCCTCTTTGCCACCTTGGTGCAATTCGTTGGGTTAGCCGCAGGGTGCTAAACAGGTCCAGGGCAGTGGCGCATCCGCAAATTCTTCAGTCCTTGCCCTTCTCAGTTGTCAGAGGGTTCACCTTGTGGGTTACTTTGACAATCTGCTCCTGTTGGCTTGTTCTGCGCTGATGCTGTGGGAGGATCTTTTCAAGATGGAAGGGTTCACATGGGTTCTGTATCTGCAGAAGTCCTTGATGGATCTGACACACAGGTTGGAGTACTTGGGCCTCCTCTTAGACACCAGCTAAGGCAAGGTGTTCCTCCCTCAAGGGAAATTGCTTAATTTGTGGGTTCAGACATGGGATCTCCAGTCCTGGGATTTCCCCTTAGACAGAGGCAAGTCTTGGGGCTGATAGTGGCATTTTTTAAGGCAGTCCCTTATGCTCACTTCCACTGCAGATCATTGCAACTGGGCATCCTCTCCGCGTGGGACAAATGGACCTTATCACTGAATCAGCCAAAGCAAGGATATCACTCTCCTGGTAGATTTCCAATCCAGTGGTGGAATCTGGGAAGTCCTTCCTTTTGCTTTGGTGGACAGTACGGACAATGGATGCCAGCCTGTTAGGTTGAGGAGGGGTCTTTAGATCAGTGACAGTGCAGGGGACCTGGTTGGTGAGGGAATCCAAGCCGTCCGTCAGTGTGCTTTAACGGAAAACTATTCATCTCTCCCTGCTGCATTGGATGGATCTCCTTCGCAGATTGCTGGTTCAAGTGCAGTCGAACAATGCCAGAGTTGCCTTATATGAATCATGAAGGGGGCACGAAGGCCTCTTCTGGACCGCCAGGATTTTCTGTTTTCAGGTCCTGTGTTCCATTCTGCTTCTCATTCACTGGCTTTGACAGCTTGGCTGTTGAAACCAGGGTCCTGAGGGATAGGGGTCTGTTGGACTCCGTTATTCCCACCCTTCTGCAGGCCATGAAGACCACCTCTCACAAGGTGTATCATTGTACCTGGAGAGCCTGTTTTGCTTGGTGCAAGAAACATAAGTGCCAACTTCGCTCTTACTCCGTGGGACAGTTTCTGGCTTTCTTTCAATTTTATCTGGATCAACAGTTGTCCCTGAATACAATCATCCTAAGGAGGAGGCTCTCCATTGTTTGGATGTGGTTAGGGCTGCCCCAAGTCTATCTTTCCTTTTAATCTGATTCCCTCTTTGTCTTTTCTGAAGGGCCTCTCAGGAGGCTCCCTGCGCCTTGTTCCACTATTTCTAGGTGGATCAGACAGGTTATTGTGCATGCCTACTAGTTCAAGGGTAGGGCTCTACCCTTCACTGTGAAGGCTCATTCTACTAGAGCCGGCAGTGCCTCTTAGGCTTTTCGGCATCAGGAATCTACGTTGCAGATTGTAATCTCTCCACCTTGTCTTCTGTTCATATGTTCTGTCAGGTGAATGTTTGGCCATAAAGTTCTACAAGCTGCCATCTGGGCGGCTTTTCCTTAAATTGTTTGTGGGGCCTTGTTAACAGTTGTTTTGCTGTGTTGCCCACCCCAAATTTCATTGCTTTGGTATGTTCCAGTCATCTCTGAATTGCCTGTGCGATCAAGAAAATAGGATTATTTACTGTTGAGATCCACCCAGCTGGCTGATTTGACAGCGGGCTCTGCCTATCAAGAGGCAGAACCAGCTGTGCTTACCTCCTCTCCCGTCCGTTCCTCCCGTCAGCACTGGAGGATCGGAGAAAGGAGTGGGGGAATTGCTGCGGGGAGCGGTGACTGACAGGGAGATGATTGGGAAGTGAGCGAGCGACAGTATGTGCTTGCTCACATCCTGATCTATAGAGTCGACATACCACCATCTGTAGAGTCCACAGTTTCAATGCCACGCATCGGCTCTAACTATGGGGATGAGTGTAAATCACTCTCCTCATAGTTCTTTTTTTAATTGTAGGTATCGTGCAATAACTTCTTAGGTGGACTTGTTATTAGTAGTGTTTTTCCATTTTAAAGTTTTCTTTTTTATTTCTAGAACCTTTCTTCTGAACATGCTTCCAACTGTCCTTCTCCTCGGCATCCTTTTCTATTCCATGAGAAAGGGGTCTGCTGGTGCAAGAGGAGGTCGAGGTATGGGGGGGCTTTTCAGTGTCGGAGAGACGACTGCTAAAGTACTCAAGGATGAAATTGATGTCAAGTTCAAGGATGTGGCAGGATGTGAGGAGGCAAAGCTTGAGATTATGGAATTTGTAAATTTCCTTAAAAATCCAAAACAATATCAAGATCTAGGGGCAAAAATTCCAAAGGTAATGTTATATACTTATGTTTTGTTATCTGCTTACTGTTTTGATTAATGAAATGTTGCATAATTTCAAGGTCAAGCAGATCATATGGTTCATTAAGATTATATAATCTGTATGTTCTATTTTTATACTTTTTACAAAACCTGTACATCTGTTGCAAAAGGCCAACGTGTTTCTGGTTTTTCAATAGGTACCCTTCAGCTGGGCACAGTAATGCAGGAAAGGCAAAGGCATGGAGGGTAATCTATGTAGTTCTGGATGCAGACTGTCAAACTAACTGAACAGAAATCGGCACAAATTTCCCTTAAAGTGACATTAAACCCTCAGATTTTTTAACATAAACGAATACTGTAATGTGTGCCTTACTGTAATCCATGGTTGTTTCCTTTTCTCTTTGCTGCTCTTCCTTTTAAATCCTTATCTCTTCTCATGCTTGGGGAGAACTTCCCTTTGCAGCTGAGTGCCTCTTCCTGTAGTGCTGGCTCAGGTTGTGAACCTGCACACAGACACCATGTATCCATTCCTGAGACAAGGCAGTCTGCTGCAAAACAGAAGTTCTGCCCAGCATGGGAAGAGATACGGATTTAAAAGGAAGAGCAGCAAAGAGAAGGGAAACTAACATGGATTACAGTAAGGCACACATTACAGTATTGTTTTATGTTAAAAAAATCTGAGGGTTTAATGTCACTTTAATGAACTATATCGATTTTTATCATCCAGACCTTTAGACTTTCATGCATTTCTAAGCCCTGCAATATGGTTCACCTGGGAACCCTCGAAATGAGCTGGCCCTTTACCCTGGATGCAGTGATGCATTCAATCTGGACTAAAACTTTTAAATCCATTGCCATCTTATTCTTCCAAGTAAAAAACCTGACCGATTTGAAGCCTTCACCACCCTATCCGAAAATAAGAAAGTTTTGGCTTTAGATGCACTTTGTAAAATCTGTATACTTGTTCAATGTCACTGACACAAGATGTATCAAAGCTATTTGAACAGCACAGTCGGGCAACTGGCATTTTCATAAGGACAGATCAGCAATAGCTGCTACCATATTTCTCTTGATACAGGTTCTCTTGAATGTACCCTGTTCCTTAATGAAGTATGGGGACTGCCACTGCTGACTTCCTTTTAAAAATGGTAGAGGACTAATTGATGTGCTGATCCACTACTCCTACACTAAAAGTACTCCTGAAACAGCATATTAAAGGGACACTAAACTCTGGAAACACTTAGGTTTAGATCCTCAAATCATCTCTGAATTCATGCTGACGCTGTCCTTCCTTCTGGAGGGTGGCTACTTTTGTTCCCCGTGGTCCCTGTGTGTGTGTTGTAAAGTATCCATCGCTCCAAGTTGATTCCTGTGGTGGACTACAGTCTTGCGTTTAGTTTACTAATTTGTATTGAGTTTGTAGTCAATCAGTGGACTGAGCTTGGAGCGGTGGCTACTTTACACAGGGACCATGGGGAAGAAAAGTAGCCACCCTCTTGAAGGAAGGACAATGTCCGCATGAATTCAGAGATGATTTGACTATCTACAGCTGAGTGATACACAATATGTTAAGAGTTAAGCTACTTGAATGAATTTTTAAGATTAGTTTCACTTTAAGAAAGTTAGAGATTCCTTATCTGCATACTTGGCCTCAGTAATGACTGAAATGAATTAAAGCAAAATATTGAGGATGCCAGCCTAGCTAGCATGATCAACTAGCATGTGCAGAATGAGAAGTCAGCCTGTGCATTTCATTTAGGAAAGAATTCTTATAAAGACATAGACCAGTTTGTTGCTACACTTACAGCTCATAGAAACAATTTTTCATACTCAGTTGTCTCTTATATAATTCCATGCCTTTTGGTATGCTTAGAGCAGGGATCACTAAATTGCTGATGAGGCCGGGGCATCCACTGCCAGCCATAACCCAGCACAGACACAGTCATTGGTTGCTATGCCCGCCGACATTCCTAGCAACCAGTGATGTCCATTGTATGACCTGCCCCTCGCATTTGAGTGATGGAAGAAGTTACTCTTCCGTCCTCCTGAAATGCTGGGGGTGGGGCAGACAATTGACACCACTAAATGCTAGGACCACCGGCGGAGGTAGCAACCAATGACTGCTGAGGATGGGGAACACCTGCTCCTCCTGCTTTAGGTTATGGCTGGCTGATAGTGGATGCGCTGGCCTCTGACACTACCAGCCATAACCCAACTATGGTCTTCCTCCTCTGCAGTCATTGGTTACTAGGACCATTGGCGGTCCTAACAACCAGTGACACGTGTGCCCTGCTCCAGCATGACAGGGGGATGGAAGAAAAACATCCAGAAGACTCTAAAGTGGACAGCCAATGAAGGGGGCATTACGATGGGGACAACTAATCATTAGTTGTCCCCAACAGAGTGCCCCCTTACATTAGTTGCCCCAAAGGGAACGCTCCCTTACTTTAATTACGCTAGCAAGGGGCACTTTGATGAGGACAGTAAATGTTAGGGGGCACTCTAATGTGGACAGCTAATTCTTAGTTGTCCTCGTCGGAGTGCCCCCTTACATTGGTTACTATGGTACTCTGATGTGCATAACCAATGTAGGAGGGCATTCTGATGGGGACAACCAATATAAGGGGGCACTCCAATAGGGAACACTAATGTAAGTGAGAACGCTGACGGAGACAACTTGCATAAGCGGGTATTGATGGGACATAAACTTCGGACTCCTGCTCGAAGAAAAGTTTTTGTCTTGAAGTTTAATTCGGGACCCCTGCCTTAGAGTAAAGCAAAGAAAGTGTGAACCGAGGTAATTGTTGTCAGTCAGTCAGACTATTGTAATGGAGAAAATAAGTCAGTCGCTCTTTAGCATCATCACGTGCATCACACTGAACATTGTAGACCAGTGGTAAAAGTCTATAAGACCATCTCCAAGCAGCTTGAAATACTATTTAGAAATTTAAGGTCCATGGTAATGTAGCCAGACTTCTTGGACGTGGCTGCAAGAGGGAAATCAACCCCAGATTGAACAGAAGGATAGTATTAATGGTAGACAGAGAAGAGGAAATCTTCCAAAGATATACAAATTGAACTACAAGGTCAAAGTATATCAGTGTCTGATCACACCAGCTATCACTTTTTGAGCGACAATGGGCTCATTGGAAGAAGACCCAGGAGGATACCACTGTTGGAAAAGAAAACTTAAAAAGTCACACTGGAATTTGCTAAAATGCATATTGACGAGCCACAATGTTTCAGAACAGATGGGACAAAATTGGAGCTTTTTGGTGTGACACATCAGCTCTGTGTTCACAGATGAAAAAATAAATCTTTCAAAGAAAAGACTGCGTACCTTGTGTGAAACATGGAGAAGGGCTTGGTTATATTTTGGGGCTGCCATGCTGCGTCTTCCATGGGGGGGAATCTGTGCTGGGCACAATGAAATCTTAAGACTACCAAGGAATTTTTTCTTGAAACCTGCTGTCTCAGTTGCAGGTCCATAGGTCCTCTAACATGATGATGACCCAAAACACTTTGCTAAAAGCATTCAATAATGGCTAAGAACAAAACTTTGGGCTATTCTAAAGTGGCCTTCTATGAGTCCTGATCTGAATCCTATTAAACATCTTTGGAAAGAGCTGAAATATGCAGTTAGGAAAAGGCACCCTTCAAACCTGAGACAGCTGCAACAGTTTGCTCAAGAGGAGTGGGCGAAACTACCTATTGGCACGTGCAGAAGTCTCATTGAGGGCTACAAAAAGCATTTTTGTAGTGATTACCTCTAAAGATTATGCAAAAAAATTATTGGGTGAAGGGTTCCATTTTTTTTTTGTCCATGCCATTTGAATTTTATTTAAAATATTATGCTAAATCAAAAGCAAAGTTGATATTTTTTTTACAAATTTAGGGAATAAATAATGATAGATGCCAATTATTTTGGTTAGTTTCACGCTATTTCAGAGAGAATAGCAGCAGAGAACAGTGATGAAGATGAAGTCTGTGACACGCCGCACTGCCGCTGCCACATTCGTGCTTTGGAGAGGGGAGCAGGGTAAAATGAGCTGCTAAGAGAAGGATAATATCCAGTACAGTGAACTCTGGGGATAGGCACAGGTTCGTTTTAGGTTCATTCTCCCAGCTAGGACCTCTTCTACGGTATTTTAGTGTGTGTGTATATGTATACATACGGTTGGAGAGCTGGTCGTAAGTGCGAGTAGTCGCAAAACAGGTAGGTTGTTAAGTGAGGAATAGCTGTATTACTTTAATAGCACCAACCTCCCCCCCCCCTAGTGTTGAGTTCTACCTGTACGCCTGCGCTTCTCTGCCAGTCGCCACGGCGCCCCTCGGGGTCCCTGGGGGGGGGGCGGTCGGTGCCTCAGGTACCGCGTTATCCATGGAATTTTTCTCATCCGCTATGGATGGTTTTGTGTCGCGCATTGAGCACGCTCTCACGCATAGGCCCCCTAAAAAACGGGTTCTGCCCTTGCCATCCCCGGCATTGTCTGGGGAGTCCGAGGAGGAGGGGGAACTTCCATCCGCGTCACCCCGGCCGGATCCGGGGGACTCCTCACCGACGGACTCGGGCAGTGAGGATGAATCTGCGTCGGCGCTCATGATCCGATCAATGTGTTGGAACTTCGGGCGATTCGCCTGTCCCTTCTTCACTGGTCGGTCCGGCTTCAGGGTCTGTCGGTTCGGGTTCAGTCCAACAACGCCACGGCGGTGGCGTACATCAACCATCCTAATAGGATTTTTGTACTCACCGTAAAATCCTTTTCTCTCCGTTCATTGAAGGACACAGGTCCCGCCCTCTTTCTCTGGGTATGCACTCCTAACTGCTTGTTACTAACTGGAGACTTGTCAGCAGGTGGGGGTTGGGCCACCGGCAGGGGCCGCCCCTAGGCTGTCTAAGTCTTTTTTTGTTATGTGCCTAGCTTCCTACTCCTGCAGGTGGCGATATACCCTACCTTTCAGGATCTCCGATCTGTTGCCCTGTGTCCTTCAATGAACGGAGAGAAAAGGATTTTACGGTGAGTACAAAAATCCTATTTTTTCTGGCCTAAAGCCTTCTACAGTTCATGTCTTTGGCTAACCAATGAGCCTCTGTCTAACCAATGTAAGATGTTGAACAATTGTAAATAAGCTAAGGCACTGTGGTCCTACTCAAAAAGGTCCTCTCAGCAGATCCTTGTTGGTTAGATTTGTCACTATAATGTACCCGCAGTATGAGTTTGCTCTAAGGAAGAAAAATGCCTTTTATATTCTTCAAAAATCATACAATACTATTATCAAGGAAATCTATTTCTACGAACCTTTTCATGTGTAGTGTGTTTTATGGACAGAAATTCATTCCATAGGAACTAATCTTTTGTTTGGCCATTCTGATGAAGTAGTTAAAACTTACAATTATTTTTTTTTGATAAATAGAATCAAGAGAAGGCATTTTAGCACCTTTTTTTTACAACAATAAATTCTACTCCAATAATGTTCCACATGATAAAGGGTTAAAAGAAAATGCAATGCCATTGTTAAATATACAGTATTTGATATTCTGCAATTTGTATGCATCATATCCTTGTTTTAGATTTTGGTCTGTTAATGTGTTTTCTGAATTCCCAGGGTGCAATTCTCACCGGTCCTCCTGGCACAGGGAAAACACTGTTGGCAAAAGCTACCGCTGGTGAGGCCAGTGTCCCGTTCATTACAGTCAACGGCTCAGAATTTCTTGAGATGTTTGTTGGTGTAGGCCCAGCACGAGTAAGTCCCTTACATAATCTAACATTACAGCACATTTTAAATGCAAAGAGATGCGCTTTCTCGGTCTACTGATTCACTTTCCAGTGAGAATGAAGGTGACGCAGGACGGTGAAAAGCTGAAATAGGGGTGTTAACCTGTCTTATATGTAGTGTGGCATGGATGTACAGTATCAATCACAGAACTAGCTGACTAGATTTACAAATCCCTTGGCAGGTAAAATAATTAACAGATATGCATTTCAACGATGTATCCTGCTGCTTGGCCGGAGTTCTGTTTTTATTGTCACGTTTTTAGAGTAGAACGATGAGGTGAGTGGTTTCCACTTATCCTTATAGTTAGAGCCGACGTGTGACATTGAAACTGTCACACGTTGACGCTATAGATGGGGAAGTGAGCGAACACATACTATCGCTCTCTCACTTCCCGATCATCTCCCTGCAGTGAGCGGTCCGTCACCGCTCCCCGCAAGGATTCCCTCCTTCTCCCCTCTCTGATCCTCCAACGCTGACTAGAGGATCGGACAGGGGAGGGAGCGGGCACAGCTGGTTCTGCTTCTAGATCAACAGCGGGCTCTGCCTATCAGCCAGCTGGGTGGATCTCGCCAGTATTGTCAGGATCCGTCCCGGCTGTGGCACTCAGTATATAGCGGGCAATAGTTCCAGTATCGGAGCATTTGGGCGAGTAAGAGTACTCACCCAAATACTCTGAATCGGCGCCGATACTAGTATCAATGCATCCCTAATTCTCATTATCGATTTTATAATCGATTAGTTGTGGCAGCCTTAGTGAGCAGCTCTCCCTGCGTAATCATTGACTCTTTGTGACATCTGTTCTCTTTGCTGTTCATCCTGATGCAGAGTGGGCTGCTGTCACTGACAGGGAAGTTCCGCTGATTACATTGGCTGTACTCTCCCTCTAGATTCTGTAGGCATGAACTGTGAATTTGACATCTTGGTACTGCACAGTGCAAGGACATGGCTTACTGGTCCTGCCCCATGGGTTGTCGCCTGCAGACCTCTTGTTGAGCAGCTCTGCATTAGCAACATGTTTTAGACTGGGCAAAGGAAGTTTACTGCCATTGAAGCTCAATGTAGCCCAACATGCAGCTTATCTAACACCGTGCTTCAACCTAAGGCAAACTGAGCGAAGTGTTATTAAAACTTGGGGCCTCCTAATCAGCAGTGTTCTCTGGATTTGAGGCTCCCCCAGCAGAGTCTTCCTTGCCCACTTTCAAAGTACCCATCAAAATGTAAGAATTTCTGAAATGTAGTCCACGTCTTATCTTGGTTCATTAAATATTTCTGTGGCTCTTACTATTCCAGGTAAGGGACTTGTTTAGCATGGCCAGAAAACACGCTCCCTGCATTCTCTTCATAGATGAAATTGATGCTGTTGGTCGGAAGAGAGGAAGAGGGAACTTTGGAGGACAAAACGAACAGGAAAACACACTGAATCAGCTTTTGGTGGAAATGGATGGCAAGTCATTTAGCAACATTATGCCCGTGTCATTTTTAATTTAGATACAACTAAAAGAAACAAATGAGACGTTTTTCATCATAGACAACCTATATATAAATGTATTTTTATTTTGAATTACATTTTGTTCTAAGTTAAACAAGTAACAACGACCACACTGTGACAATAGAGTGCAGTAAAGCGTGTATTAGAGCAAATGGCAATTAAAACATATTTGTTACATAAGACATTGAGGACTTTTTCCATTGGATATGATTTTTTGTTTTATGGATTCAAATTTAACAGATGAAGGTTAGAGGGTTTTAGGGGTCTATAAGAGAGTCTACAATAAATTATCTACATTATAATTTATTTTTTTTATGTATAAAGGTGCACTGAAATACATTTTTGAGATCGGAAAAAAAAAAGTCAGGCCGAAACGATTTTTTTCTTTTTCTAAAACTTTTTCACATACGTTTTATTTTTATGCTACACTTTATTTTATGTTTTATAAAATATTTCTATTAACTTTACTGCTGATGGTTCGGTGAAATATCAGGGGTCTAAACAGACTCCTGATATTTCCCTTTTTATAGTAGAAAAGAGATTGAGGATACAGAGTCCTCCAATCTCTTTCTGCATCCCCAGCACTGAATGAACAGGAATCCTCTATACTGTGCTGAGTGTTCCTGTTCATTCATAAATTGTGGACATAGTATGCGTTACCATGTACACAGTCATGAATGAATAGGAAGTAATGTAGATAATTTCCTATTCATAACTGGTACATAGTTACTCATACTATATCCAGTTATTTATAGACTGTCAGTGATCACTGAATGTTTGTTTGTATACTGTTCTCCATCCTGAAATGGCTTTCACAGGAGGCTGAGCGGGGAGGAGAGTTCTGTCTCATTTGACAGCTTACTCCTCCCCCTAACATCGCTCTCCTGATCTGTTCCAGGTGGCTGGCCGGTGCGGGAGGAGAACTCAGCCTCCTGTGACACACTCCCTGCCCCGCTCAGCCTTCTGACTGTTTCTCTCCTCCACGCTGGACTCTGCTCTGTGTCAGAGGAGACAAAGAGCAACGCACAGCAGGTTGAAAAATTAAGGATGCACTGCAATTTCGGCCGAAAGATGGAACTTTCGTCATTTTGCCCAAATTGCTATTTTTGACCGAAATTTCGGTGCATCCCTACTTTTTTACTATTTTAATGGATTTTGTTCCTGATTACTAACAGGCTGTAATCATCATGACACAAGAATGTATTTTATTATTATTAACCTCATGGCTTTGGCATGTGATGCTATCTGGACTGGATGACTTTTAAGGAAAAGTTGCAGCTTGAATAGGAAATTGAATATTACATTTGTTGTCTGAATTCCAGACCAAGATGAAATCCTGTTATTTACTGTACTGTATATATGTGAAATAGTCAAACTGATTACTTGTGTGCAGAAATGCAATTTACCTCGCATTTTCCGAACATTTATACTGTGTTGTTTTTTTAGGTTTTAATACATCCACCAATGTAGTTGTGTTAGCAGGCACAAATAGACCTGATATCTTGGATCCAGCTTTAATGCGACCGGGTCGCTTCGACAGGCAGATATATATAGGTGAGGCTTACGATAATTAGGTGTAAACGTCTATTCGTCACATATGGGAAATCTTACTAACCGCTGTACTTGCTGTATTTCCCAATCTTAGGGCCACCTGATATAAAAGGTAGAGCATCTATATTCAAGGTTCACCTGCGGCCTTTGAAGTTGGATACTACTTTAGATAAAGAAGCCCTCTCAAGGAAAATGGCTGCTTTAACACCAGGATTCTCAGGTAAGAAAGAAACATGAATTCTATCCTGCTAATATAGAGGTGTGACCTAACAATTGTGCAGTAACCTGTATGGACCCTATATTAAGGCACCTGTACCCCAGAGCACTCTGCTCTTTACCTACACTTTGTGGCTGATTTATAATGGAGATGGAATATTGCTGTCATAAAATGCAGACTGCAGTATTGAGCCTAGAGTACTGTACGTAGTTCTATCTGCTTATTGCATGAAAGAGAATTCTGTGAATAGAGTGACAGGTCATGTGAGTAGGTACTCCTCCCTGCCTTTTTGTTTTTTTCTTTTTTCAAATGTATTCATTTTTACTGCGCATATTGCAAAGTAAAGTTTTTGATTTAGTTAAATTGAATTTGTTTTTAGGAATAATCATACTTTTTTTTTTTTCCTTTTTAAAGGTAACAAAAACCGTATTACTGTATGCCATGTACAACTTTTAGCCAGTACTCTTATCAATCCAGTTTTATGTTGCTGAACCATATCGGTGCCGAAATGTATCTCATGTTCGATTTGTTCCTTTTCCCAATGCACAGGAGCGGATATAGCAAATGTGTGTAATGAAGCTGCTCTTATAGCTGCCAGGCACCTTTCAGATTCTATAAACCCAAAGCACTTTGAGCAAGCCATTGAGCGAGTAATAGGAGGTAAGCAGCTCCACATTGGGGCTTGATAAGTAAATGAATTGTTTTATTTTGAGAATGTGTGCAAATGGCAATGTACTGTCAGTCCCATTAATTAGACTTGGTCAACTGGATTTCTTAAAGCAGTTGTGTCTTAAAGTCGTATTAAACTCCTCAAATTTTTTTTTTCAACAATGAATCCAGGTGAAACAAATGTACATTGCCCAGCAAAGAGCTTGACATTTTTGCCCAAACACTTCCGATCATCGTGTTTCTAAACAGCTGCTTCCAAGTCTCTCGCTCAGCTTCCCTGATCTTCCTCTCCAGTAGACGATCACAAAGGACAGAGTGGGCTCCAGCAACTGTTCATCTACTAGCTTGGAGAAGGTGCCAGGGGAGTAGCTTGATTTGCTATGTCTGTGTGTTTGTGGAGACTCACAGCGCTTACTAGCACACACAAGGGTGACTGCATAGCATTGTGCTTGAGAAAGGAGTCACTCTAAAACAGGAAGTCAGGACCAGAGCTCAGGCAGGAAACTCAAACTTTTAAACATCAAGAAGCAGCATTCATTTTAAGTGATTTCATAAGCATTTGAAATCGCTTACAATCCTTTCGACTTTTATCATTTTATCCCTGGCTTGCATAACTGCCAGGCAATTGGCATTTCTATAAGGAGAGGTCTGCAGTTGCAGCTTTCAAGTTTCTCTTAGGATAGCGAACCTTTTAACTAATATCCATTTATTTATCAAATATATTTTCCTCTCATCTATGGAGGGAAACAAATTCTGAACCTGTCTGGTTCTGCTGCTGAGAATGGAACAATGGCAAGAGGTAGGTCAGTCCTGTGTATAACCCCTCCAACTACCAGCATGCACTACCAGTTTTTTTGCTAGTGTCCTAGGATGGTGGACTATATTGAAGAGGATACGTTGTACTCTAAACAGCTTCTCAAGCTTCCACTTAGGTGCTGCAGTGATTCACAACTGATGGATCTGTTCTCATTCTAGAATCTGTAGAAGTCACCAGCTCCAACACGAGCAATTTTTTCAGTCCCATAATAAGCAGTGTGACATTTCATAGCTCCAACCAGCTCCTTCATCAGACAAATAGTGATAAGAGGATGGCTGTGTTTTCTTCAACTCATCTGAGTCAAAAGTTAGCCTACAATTTCTTCTAGCAACGTTCGTCTTTAATCAAGAATCTTCACCCCGTAGTGGCAGGGGGGTCTCCCAACCTTCACAGCTATCCTGCAAAGTTCTCCTCAGCGGGTACTGGGCTCTGCTTGAATGCCTTGCAGACTGCTTCCGGTTATGTTTTTGAGGTCTAGAGTCACTGACATTGCCATGTGCTTGCCTTGTCTATGAAGACTTACTCTCGTGAGTAGGCTGTTTGGGCCGGGCACCAAGTGTTCCCTCAATCTTATTAGTTGCTAGGCAGTAAACTTAATTCCCCATTTTCTCGCCTGCTTGTTGATAAAGGGGTTAACCCTGTAGGACAGAAAGATGACCTCTTTCCGCTGCTTAGTGTCATGCCTGCACACTCTGCACTGTCTTTCTAGCCAAGAGGAAGCATCTCTCTGCTTCTGCTCCCCATAGAACTTGGATTCCTGATCTGTTTTGTCACCTCCAGCCAGTCAACCCCCTGGTCCTGAGCATTTGTGGCTGCACTATGTCTGAATCTAGACACACGGAGACAGTCCCACTTTACTTTGTCAATCCCTGCCCCCCCCCCCCGCCCTAGCACTTTGTCCACTAACAGGTTGGGGTCCGCTTGCAGCATCCCCCTAATAGTGACAGTGCCTAAAGTCTGGGCTCCTGTTGACCTCTGATATTCAAGTCTATTCCTTCCTTTGCAGTCCTCAACTCATGTAGCCCTCTTTGAATAGATCTTCACTTTGGTCATGCAGGACTTTTTGTCACAGTGCCTGATCTGCTTGCTCGCGGGCTATGGACCCGCCGATCGCCTATATGTGAAACACACTGTAACTGGTGTGTACATTGAGCGGGTCCTTTCTGCCCGTGCGTGCCCGCTAGGGGGCGCGCGCGAGCAGAAAAAAATTGCCGTCTGGAGACGGCAACCCGCAGATGCTGCAGTGCCGTCCGTCCGTTTTTTTACTACGGGCGGACGGCAAGAGGTTAACTGTGTCCATGCCATCATCTGCATGGACTCTTACTGATACAGAGTCACTCAGTTCTCTGCTTGATTTAGCTTTCCTTGAGTCTCGGTTATCTACTATTACTCCTATGTTGAAGGAGACCATTTCAGCCCTTATTGATGCGGTGTGCAGCACTCTGAAGCCAGAGGATCAGTCTTTCGCTTCTACTGGTGTGTCTAGCCTTGAGTCCTACAGCGCCCCTAAGGCCTCAAAGACCTTCCCTTTGCCCTACTTTTTCACAAAAGGGTCCATCCGCACTGTGCAGCCGTCCATCTCTTGCCTTAACAAGGCAATCATTATTCCAGTGGATGACACCCCTTTTTATTAAGGATTCCACCAATAAGAGGCTAAAGCTCTTTTTCTGCCCATGTTGTTTTTTTAGTAGTCTTTGCTTTTATACCCAATTCTGGCTGTAGTTCTACTCTGTTACATCAAAGCTGAATTGTCCATACCCCTGAAATGGGATCTGACCGATGCTTACAGTGACCCGCAGATCATTGATTGCATGGATCACATGTGTCTGGCTCTAAACTTTTAGCACCACACTGTCCATATGTTAGAGGTTTGGTTGGATTCTGAACCTCTGTAACTCATCACTGGTTCTGACCAATTGCTTGAAATATCTCAGACGGTTTCCCACTCCTCAGACTGCTTTCGGATGTCACAGAGGATTCAGAATTTTTGTTTTCCTCAAAGAACGAAAGAGAAATTTAGTGTTTTCTTTCGGCATCCCTTTGAGAGACACAGGTTCCACCGCTCTGTGTTTATGAGCGTGCTTTTGGTGCTGCTTTGCTACTATGGTAGTGGAACCCAGAGTTGCCTACGGTTTTTGTTTGCCGGTGCCCAAAATTCCTGTAGGTGGCAGTATAACTTTGTGTGTTATACAAATTATCTCGCAAGTAGATGTTTTCTTAAACTCATTTTTCCAATACAGACTTGCTTCCCAGCCTGCCTAGCTCCAGATAGTGTTTACAAACCCTGGCTTCCGTACACTCTCCAGCACTTACACTTCATTTTACAGAACTGCCTGGTCCTACCTTATGGTCACCACACGTTCCAATCAACTTTAAATTTACCAAAACTATGTAATATGACCTACCTTATCTATTCAATCAATTTGTATCCAACATTTGCACTACATACTTGTTGGTAGATCTAAAAGAGATTGTACCCTCCGATTGTAACGTGTGTGAGCTTTAGGAAATAGGGGATGTAACCTGCTCATGCGCTCTGGATGGCCATTAACACCTTGATGCTGGGCCTTGGGCATGTGCCAGGTTGAAAAATGCTAGTTACTTTTAGTTACTTCAGTACTACGAGTTCATGAACCAGAAATATATAGAAAAGGCCAGGCAACTAGCATATTCACCAGAAGATCAGCAATGAAGGCCTTCAAATTCCTCTCCGTAAAGGTTACTTTTCATTATAATTTTATTGTGCAGGTTTGGAAAAAAAGACTCAGGTTCTCCAGCCGGAAGAAAAGAAGACTGTGGCTTATCACGAGGCTGGGCATGCTGTGGCAGGGTGGTATCTGGAACATGCAGATCCTCTGTTAAAGGTAAAACAGAGCCATATCTACTGATATATATATATATGTTTATTGTACTTAATGTGGCCGTACACAGCCTGACTAATCTGTATCTGCTCATGTACAGATTTCACTGTACTTAATATGGCCGTACGCAGGCTGATCTTTCATCCATTTCGAACTAAGATCCAAAGTCCTTCTATTTACAAGTTATTTTTCCAGCACCAGTAGCAGGAACAACTCTGTGTTAAGTTTTCCACTACATGCTTCTCCTAGCAGTATTTGTTGAGCAGTGAAAGTTGCTAACTGTTTCTCTTGCTATACTGAAAACTCAGTTTAAACAACTCCGTCCCACCTTGGCCTTGCAGCATAATAAGACACCTCAACAGGAATCAGACAGCTTAGGGGTACTTTTTAGGAGGTGATAATCCATTCTAATGTCTGAAATGTAAAGAAAGAAGGCGTTAGCCATGCATGTGCCACTTGAGTCCACTGGGAGAGTTGCAAGATAAAGCGTAGTGGATTCTGATGCTACATATGACAGACGTGTCTTCTTATCCCTCATCCTTGAGGAGACATCTGCGGGACTTGTACTGTTTGTGTTAACATAAAGAACTTTATTTGACAAGTGAACTAGCAATGTAAACACACACAGAATCACACTTGCGTCCATATGATTGTGATTTTTATGATTACAGTAAGCCGGTTTTGTTTTGCATTTGTGTATTTTTGAATTATTGTATTTTTGTTAGAGCGGACTTGTGCCCAGAAATGCTGACTTGTCTTCCAGGTTTCTATCATCCCACGAGGAAAGGGATTAGGCTACGCGCAGTATTTGCCTAGAGAGCAGTATCTGTATACAAAGGAGCAGCTGCTGGATAGAATGTGCATGACACTGGGCGGTCGAGTCTCCGAGGAGATATTCTTTGGAAGGATTACAACAGGAGCACAAGACGATCTGAAAAAAGTGACACAGAGCGCCTATGCACAGGTATGTCTACTATATGTTTCCTACATAAAATCCAATGCCTGTATGTCTACTGGATGTGCCATAAATCCTTTGATAACATATAACTAGGAAAGCGAAGCCAGAATAGTGTTCAAACTGATCACCTCAGTCTTGTCTGGAACGTAATTGCTGGACCAGATTTTCGAGACATGCTTCTTAACCAATCCTTTTGCAGTACCTGTGTCCTGCAAACCTGCCAACTGTTTTCAGCTTTGTTACATGTTCAACCTTCAATTATGCACCTGTTTATAAAGCTTTAACATGCATAAGGAAAATGCATCTGTAAAAAGAATTCAATCATGTTCATAATGTTTATTTCAAAGGTTGTCCAGTTTGGAATGAGTGACAAAGTTGGCCAAGTTTCATTTGACCTCCCTCGGCAAGGAGAAATGGTGTTGGAGAAACCCTACAGCGAGGCAACCGCAAGAGTGATCGATGATGAAGTCCGCAAACTTATTAACTCTGCTTATGAGAGAACTGTGACGCTCCTGACGGAGAAGAAATTGGATATTGAAAAGGTAGGTAGCATACCAGAGCACTGTCTACCCGTTTTCTTTTTATAGGTTTATACTTGGGGTTGTTCTCAATTGCTCTGATCCAACTGATTGTGAACATCAACTCAGGAACATGTACCACAAATTACCCTAAACACATACTGGATGGTAATGGGCTTCCATGGCCAAAACAAAGCATAAAAACACTAATAAAATCCTATTTACACAGAGACAACCCCCCCCCCATCAGGACACTTTAGAAAGACCATACACAACAATAGAAGCATTCTTAAAGTGGATAAAGACTTGTCCCTTATTGTCAAACAACCACCTTTGGTGTTCTATTCTAGTAATAGGGCCCCATAGAATTTTCTGGAACAAGCATTTAGCTAGTTTTTGTTTTACTTGTGAGCATGGATGTATTTATTTTTTCTCACTAATAATGAAGAGGCTTTAATGTCGGTAAAAAAATATGTATATATCATTAGTCCTCCACCACCGGTACTCATAAATGATGATGACCGTGCTGACTTTCAGTGACTTCTATGTATGTTTTTGTCTCCTATTTTCTTCAATTTTTAATAATCATTTCTTTTGTTTTGTTTTTAGATTGCTCTCCGACTCTTAGAAAAGGAGGTGCTGAATAAAAGTGATATGGTTGAACTATTAGGCCAAAGACCATTTGCAGAAAAATCTACATACGAGGAATTTGTGGAAGGCACTGGTAGCTTGGATGAGGACACAACACTTCCTGAGGGTCTGAAGGACTGGAACAGAGACCGAGAAAAGGATAAAGAAGAACTGAATGATGAACAGACTTCCCGACACATAAGCGGAGGAATGCCATTCTGAGCGGTTCTATAACACATTGAACAGAGCAAATGCTGTTTTTGTTTTAAAGACTTGCAAGTGGACTTGCTTTTCACCAAAAATGAGAACATACACTTGTATGTTAAAAACAGGATTATCAGGATGTTTCCACACTCCTAATAAAAGTCATAACAATGACCTCATCTTTCCATTATTACAACGTAAACATTTTTAAAAAAATAACATGGGTGCCATATTTACCGTAGAGCAAAATGAATATATGAGCGCTGCATAAGAGTATTACAAATAGGAGTTTTAATTCTATAAATAATGTTTCAGAGCTATGCTCTGTTCACACAGGTTATTTTTTATCTATTGGCTTTCTGTTATTACTGTTCTTTCCACAGATCTACAGCTGTGATTAAATACCTGTCGTTACAGTGAAAATATTCTCTTTCTTTAAATCACAAAGAACACAAGAAAGGTATTTAAATTCTAGCTGCGTTTAAAAAAAAAAAAAAAAAAAACAACCCAGTGTGCCCAAAAGGAAAACCGCTCTTAATTGGTTTAGGTTGATTGAAAGGATACAAAGTGTGGGTGTGGCTATTGCATCCTGTAAATAAATGTGACTTTATAATGCTGTATAAATGTTTCTTGGAATAAAGATAAAATTATTTGGGAAAAAACACGTGGAATGTTTGTGGGAGTTGACCTGCTTTGGACCCCCCGGCATACATGGTGCACCCCAGAGAACTTAATCTAAAGCCTTTTAGATGCCCAAAGCATCACACTGCCACCGCTGGCTTGCCTCCTTCCCATAGTGCATCCTGGTGCCATCTCTTCCCCAGGTAAATGACACACATGCTCCCAGCCATTCTGTAAAACCGAATGCGATTCATCAGACCAGGCCACCTTCTTCAATTGCTCCGTGGTCCAGTTCTGATGCTCATCAGCCCATTGTAGACACTTCTGGAAGTGGACACAGGTCAGAATGGGCACCCTGGCTGGTTTGCGGCTATGCAGCCTCAAACACAACCAACAGTGTGTTCAGACACCTTTCTGTCTAAACCAGCATCAACTTTTCAGCAATTTCAGCTACAGTAGCTCTTTTATTGGATGGGACTACTCGGGATCAGTGAGCCATGGCCTCCCAAGACCCTGATGCCGGTTAACCAGTTTTCTTTCCTGAGACTGGTTTTGGTAGGCCCTGACCACTGCAGACTGGGCAACATCCCACAAGAACTCTCACCCAGTCCTCTATCCATTACAATTTGGCCCTTGTCAAAGTCACTTACCTATATGCTTGCCCATTTTTTCTGCTTCCAACAGATCAACTCCAGGGATAATATGTTCACTTGCTGCCTAATATATCCCAGCCACTTCCAGGTGCCATTGTAACGAAATTATCAATGTTATTCACTTCACCTCTCAGTGGTCATCATGTTATGGCTGATTGTTGTATATAACCCTAATCACTAAGATCTCACATAAACTTTAACTTTAACATGGTGATGTCAATTAATTGCATGCAATTTTTATTAAATAATACCTGGTGGTTATGCCATTAAGGGCCTTGTTCAAGCACTTCTGTTTATAGGGTGACAGAACTCTGCCCTGGTCCTCCAATTGCGCTCCTCCCTTGCTACCCTGTCACACGCCAATAGAGACTTAATTTAGTCATTTCAAGACCCTTTACACGGGCATGGGCACCATCAGGAGACCTGCCCTGATAAATGCCAAGCAGGCAACACTGGAGTAGTTGCATGTAGACAGGCTGTAGCTGTAAAAAGGCTTCTGGAGATGAACACCACTGAAATGCAGCAAAGGATGAAAAAAAAGGCAGTTCATGAAACACAAAGCTTTAGCAAACTAAATGTCATCAGTTAGGGTTTACTAATACTTTAACCCCTATTAATGTTTAGTTAAACTTAATTAGCACTAATTTAACCCTTTCCCCCATACCAAGGTTGTTTTAAATAAATGTATTTTAAATAAAAAAAAAAAATTTGGGAAACTGGGCCACGAAAGGTAGTGGTAATTCATAATGAAAGAAAAGTAATAAGATGCAAAAAAAAAAAAGTAAAGTTAGTAAAGAATTTAAAAAAATGAAAAAACTGCCCTTGCAGTGGGACTACTCCAGCACTGCAAGGGTTAACATCTCGTTGATGTTTAGTGGGGACTGTGTAAAGCACTTTTGCTTACCTGATCCATGCTTCCACAGGGTCCATAGCCTTGTATTATACATGAGGACCCCAAAGGACAGTCCACAAGCTGGAGCGTATGGAAGAGAGGTGAGCGCCGACTACCGGGGGAACGGAGAATGGGTAAGTAAAAGACCTTTTGCACGTCCCGCTTCGATATTAACGGGTAGTTAACTCTTGCCCAGGTGCAGTAGTTTTGGAGGGTTTTTTGGAGCCTGGAAATAGGCTTTAACCTCCCTGGTGGTCTGGTTTATCTCAGTTTTTTGTTTTTGTTTTTCTATTTTTTCCTTTTAAATCTCCCGCCGGTTCCGCCCCCATGCGACGTGAGCGCTTGCAAGGGAAGGAACCCAGAAGACGGATGCTGGCATCGGCCGGAGGGCACAGCGGGGCTCGAGGGACAAGGTAAGCGACGCAAAGTGTAATCCCGAGTGTGGCTCTGGGTTAGCGCTTTTGGTACTGAAAATTAACCCCGAGCCACACTCGGGATTACCGCCAGGAAGGTTAAATGGAAAGAAAACAAAAACACAGACTGGTAGTGATGAAGTAAAACTCCAAGCAAACCATGTGAAAATACATGTCACCACTTTAACCACTTGCTGACCAGGTGTTTACACCCCTGGCCAGGCCATTTTTCAGTATTTCGCGCTGCGGTACTTTGAATGATGTTTATTCCTTCATACAACGCTTTACTGAAATGAATTTTATACCATTTTTTTGGGGACAGATAGAGCTTTCTTTTGGTGGTATTTAATCACCACTGAGGGTTTTGTATTTTTTTTACTATATTAAGGAAAAATGACTGGAAACTGTGAAAAAAAATTATTGCCCAATTTTTTGGTAAAATATAAAAGACTGGGTCTTTTCTGGACTTTCCCGCGCGTGAAGGGGCGTGGCTGAGCGTAAGTCTAAAGACGCCCGCTCAGATCTAGAGAGCTCCCGGCCGTCCGTCCGTTTCCCAGATTCTGATATACAGGCAATCCCCATGTTACTAACAAGATAGGGTCTGTAGGTTTGTTCTTAGGTTTAATTGGTATGCAAGTTGGAACAGGTAAAACATTTTAGGTGTAACTCCAGCAAATACATTTTTTTTTTTAGTTTTGGATAGCATAGGGAAGGGTAACCCCCTGTAACATTCGTTTTGCTGTCCTCACAGTGGCTCTAATCCCACACCATACTAACCAAAACTAAAACAAATTAATTTGCATGGAGTTCTACTTTAAATGCTACTTGGACAGATGTTTGTACAAATTCCTGTAATGTACAGCACCAGACCCGGAAGAGGCAGGCACTCCTCGTCTGCACATCTAACAACTTCCTGTAATGTACAGGAGGTACAGTACTACGAATGTCGGGGTGAGCGCGGTAGCATTACAACTAGTGGAACAGTCTGGGACCTCCTGTTCGTAAGCAGGAGTCGTACGTAACTCAGATGTTCGTAACTCGGGGACTGCCTGTACCCCATATATACACCCCTCAAAATCCAACTCAGAAATTGCCCCAGGATCTCCTCCACTCAAGACAAGATGATCAATTTCCTCTGCAAACGCTGGTAGGTGACATATCTATCACGCTGCTTTTTTCCAATGTTTTTCAAGCTCCAACCACTCTCACCTATTCCAGCGAAAGCCCAGGATAGGCAACTGTGCTTGCAAAAAAAAAAATCTTCAAGTGATTGTCTTCTCGTCTTCCAAGCGACCTGAATTTATCTTCCAGATCCCTCTCATGCTACGCAGCATGTCTGAGACGTTTAGAATCACAGATAGGATGAAGTGAATAAACCGATAAGCCCCTCTATCTATCGTCCTTTCCTAAACTGCCTTTCAGCTGGGACAATTCTGTAAACCTGGTGTACAGCAGATGTTGTAATATCATTTCAGAAGGGTAAAGAGCTTGAATCAAGCAACTATAGATAATTAAGCTTGACTTCTGTTGTGCCAGGAAGTAGAGCTCTCATTATTCCTCTGGCGCTGCGACATGAGAGCTGCAGCTACCATAACTAAAGCCGCACTGACATGTCTACTAGACGTGCGATTTTCGGACGAATTTTCGGACATTCGGATGTATCCGAATTACAGATATAAAGAATGCAAACAAATCCGAATTTACGTTTCCGAAATTTGTTAGCGGTAGTTCGTTTGTTTCGTTTGTTCAGCAAAGTGACACTAGGGAAGGAGATAAACATTCCCCCCCCCCCCCCCCCCCCTCAAAGACACTTTG